CCGGGGGCGGGGCGGGGCCGGGCCGGGCCGGGGCGGCGGGGCGGGCGGTGAGCGGGGCCGGGGCCCGCCGGGGGTCTGTGGGTGTGGGGGGTGAGAGCCCCCGATGGGCGCGGGGCCTGTGGGGCTGAGCCCCCCCGAGCTGCGGAGGGGCGGGGGGACATACCCCCCGGGGCTGGGGGCTGTGGGGCCGTGTGGGGTGTGTGCCCCCAGAAGGGTCTGTGGGGCCCGTGTGGGGTGTGTGCCCCCAGAAGGGTCTGTGGGGCCCGTGTGGGGTGTGTGCCCCCAGAAGGGTCTGTGGGGCCCGTGTGGGGTGTGTGCCCCCAGAAGGGTCTGTGGGGCCTGTGTGGGGTGTGTGCCCCCAGAAGGGTCTGTAGGGGCTGTGGGGCCTGTGCGGGGGGAGCTGTGCCCCCATCTCGGGGTCTGTGGGGACTGTGGGGTGTGGGGGGCACGTGTGGGGTATGTTACTCCCCCTCGCCCAGTTCCCTGTGGGGCACACGGGGGGTCCCTCTCCCAGAGACTGCTCCGTGTGCCCCAAACCCACCACATTCCCACTTTCCACCCCTTTCTGTCTCCAGGAGTTTTCCCAGGACCCTCAAGCCCCAGCACCTCTTCTCTCCAGTTTGGGGGTGTCCCCCCACCCGTGACACCCCCCAAAGGTACGTAACAGCCTGGGGATGCCACATGCCACCAGCCCCTGCCCCCTTGAGTTCCCCCAATCCTGGAGGTCCCAAACCCCACTGGGGTTCCCACCCCACAACCTCTTTTCCTTCCTCCTTTGCCCCCCCTGCCATTTGAAACCCAAATTGCTTTTTTTTTCCTCCTGGAGGGAGGGATCCTGATTTAGGGGGGTGGTGGTTGGGATGCTGGTGTTCCAAGGCACCCCATGGCTCCAGATGTGGGGGTGGAAGGGGCTGACGAGGGCTCTGGGGTCCCCAGGATCTCACTGCCCCCCTTGTGCCCATATTTCCAACTGATCCAACTGGACCTGTGGTAATCCCATTGGATCTGGGTACCCAGCGTGTCTCTGAGGGTTCATCCTGCTGGAGAACCAATTGCCTCACCCCCCACTATTGCTGATCCCCCCAAATCCAGCCTGATCCCATGGGATCTGGGTTGATCCGTGTCCCCACGCATCTCCAAGGTGTGGCACCAGCTTATGCCAGCTCAAATTCCTCTCTTGCATCCCAATATCAGGATAACTCACACCATGAGCAGGTTTTGGGGTGTATCCACCTACGTTTGGCATTCCCAGGGTTTGTCCCATCCCCCCCCTTCCCGTTTTTCTTTCCCTCCTCAGATGAAAACCTGGATCAGCAGTTCGGACCAAAACCTGGAAGTTTTCATCCCATTCCTGGAAAAATACCACTGCCCTGTTTTGGGGCGCTGCTGCCAGACCTGCACCCCCAGGAGCTGGGTGAGAGAGTTTGGGATCGGG